TTTTAAAAAGGCTTTCTTCCTCTACCACCCTAAGGAACGCTGTCCCGGCAAAAGAGAAGATACCAAAAGCTCCTGATGATACGGCTGTAACATAATGAGATCAAAACACTGGTTACCTGTAGCTATTATTGTGAGGTTGCTGGCTGTCGATGCAGTCGTCAAGGTTCTGTCCCTTAGAAACAAAATCTTCATTCTTGTCCTCCTTAATGATTTGACCAAACTATCCTTTATCTAAAAAAAGATTGAGAACGTTATCTAAAGTATATATATCTGACCAAGTTCCAAAGCTATCGCATTTTACGCCATTTCTTGTCCTTTTGCCTTTAATTTGCTTCACTGTCTGTGCATCCCATCGTAAAGCGTGCTCGAGAATGACCAGAGGTTAAACTTAGAACTGAGGAATCTGAATACAAAACGAATTCTGGCGTTTCTAAATTATTCAAATAACCCAAACTCCGTCATTTCTAAGTAATTTTCTGCGGATCAAAAAAGGTCCATAGTTAAAACTGAAAATTTGACAATTTAAGATTTCGGCAGCTTGAATGTTTCTGAAATACCTGGTCATCCAGCAAACCATGAAAGATGCAAAATAAAAGGCCCTGAAGAGAAAATGAGAGAGAAACTGATGGTTGTTATTTAGTCACAGTTAGTACACAACACGACAGTAAGATATGCGAGAAAAGTTTACCAAATTTTGTTTAGGGCATACCCTCGCACTCTCGCAGTTCTGACGCTTTTATCGTATTTGTTTGTACTAAGATTTTTTATAGATAAGAATCCTTCCCTTAAAGCGCCCTGGCCTGTACCTGCTGTTACATATCACTCGCCGCGTATTGTAAATGTAATTTAATTACCCACGAAACACTAAGGAGCTTTAAAGAACTCGTTTAAAAGTGATCGTGTGATTCGAGGTGCGATTGAAGGTGTTGATATTTCAGCTGGTACCGTGTTTCCTCGAATAATAGCCGGGGGGCGATTATCTTATTTTTCGCACCAAAATAAGGCGATTGTTTGATTGAAGGAGATTATTCGAGACAGTTTTGCGTGCATGCGTAAGATCGCAGCGGCTGGACTAGGAAGCTTGCGGCCCCGCTGGATTAGGGTAATGAGGATACGGCTAGTTTAGTTATTTGCCTTTTATTTGTCAGTTTACGCTACGTCATGTTGTGTTTGTATCTGCCTTTAAATACTCATTTTTGTTTATTACCAGCCTTTTACCTGTAAAGAGTTTAAGATGATAAACAGATACTGGATGATCTCGCTTAATTCAGCGACAAACCCTAGCAGCCACGTGACTCCTAGTAAGGGAAGGAGGGCAGCAACACTCTTCATTCCTCTTCTGTGAAGAAAAAACGCGATGAATTATGGGCTCTCTTTAAAACGAGGAACGGGGAATCAGCGAGACGGGGAATGAGGAACAAAGAACGAATTCCCCTTCGCAAAAAAACTCCTCATTTTATAGATTCCTGCTTTTGAAGATTTCCCATTTCAAAGATTCCCCGTTTTAATAATAATAATTTAAACATATTTATGCAGGATTGCTGCTTCAGTTTTAAAAAAAAACTGCTATCAATGCAGGTCCTGTAAAAAATTAAAAATGAAAAAATAAAAATAAAAAAGATTTAAAATATAGATAAAAATCAAATCACAATATTACAAAATAGTCACACCAAACGAGAGATCGAACAGTTATAAATTCTAAGAATTATTAAAAATTATTAAAAATTTTCGCACCTTTGTAGAAAAAAGCGCGCTTGGTGCATTCTAAATTAATTCTTTCCAAAATAAGGTCATTATTATTTCTAGTTTTGTGGCGGTGAATGTCACGGTTTCTTACATTGAAATAATTAGAAAGGTATCTGGGAACTCTATTTGCAATGCACTCATCAACAAATCTTAAAATGTGTGTCCGTCTTCTATAATAGAGAGGTTCCAAGCCCAGTTTAGTCATAATTTGATCAGTTGATAGTTTTGAGGCAGCTTTGAAGTAGATGATCCTCGCTGCTCGTCTTTGTAGTCGTAAAATTCCCCGGTCCTCATACAGTAAAAACCCACATATAAGAACCTAGAATTTTCGAGGTCAGGCTGAACAGGTTCTTATATTTTAGGGTAGTTTTTCACAATTCAGCGTGACTATGTTCTTTAAAGGTTATTATTTTTCAGAGGCTGTCATAGTGTAACCATTGGCAGAAATATTGTATTACTAATACATGATGGCAAACAATCAAGTTCCATGAAGAACATCAATACATTTCAATACAATAACGTGTTTTCACGTGTTGTTCTCATACAATTAAAATAGAGAATTTTGACCATCAAAATTGGACTGATTCTTTTGTATAAGAACCTATTTTTCTTTGCCAGGCTGAGCAGGGTCTTATATGTTTGGGTATTTAACTGCCAATTTTCAGCCTGTGGGTTCTTAAATCACCAGGTTCTTATATGTGGGTTTTTACTAAAGATAGCCATGCATGATTTAAGGGAGAAGTCACACCAATTCTCCTTGAAAGTACAAACCAACGACATCTCTTTAGCAGTGTTAAGGAAAAATAAAGGTCAAAATTTTGTTTAAAATAGCTATTCCGGCAAAGGGAAACTCTCTATAAATGATTTTGAATTCCAAGCAGGCTATGTACTGTTAAGAAAGGCAATCATCGAGGAAAGTCGGGCCATTCTTCTAAGCCGGTTCTTGGCGAGTCAGTTTTCAAAATCAAAAGCTGTATTATGAAACAAACCTTAAAAACAGATCAGCAAAGCACGCTATGAACCGGTAGGTTTACAGGGGGGATCTCTCTTAAAAAAATCTGCCTATCATTGAGTAGATCGAAAAGATTTAAAATTGAACAGGAAACTGATCTTCAAGGCGAATAGAGAATCGAAAGGAAATCTCCAAGGCTAAAATGAAACTGAAATACTTTACTTACTTGGCTTTCTGGACATGGTTACTATGATACTTGACTGATATCTTAGTAAATATCACTCTTAACAGAACCACGAAGATAATGAGATTGATCTGTAATGATACAATATTGTTAGGGAGTAGCATTCATGCTTTCTTTTTTTTTTCTGTTTATGGTATGCCTGATCTAGATGATACAGTTGGTAGCCTTCGGTCATAAGTGAGTTATTCTATTAAGTAACTCCGGTCTACTATAGAAGACACTATACACTAGCTAAAGTATACTTGAGCGATCCGCCTTTTTTGAGTAGTACATGGATTGAAAAAGACAAAATTATGAATTAGTATTTAATGACCGCAGTAAAAGCTAACTCGAGAGATTAAGCTAGGGCACGGTGCAGGGAACAGGGACAGGGAAAGTTGAAGTGAGGGACGGGAGGTACTCTGCGAGCAGTGGCCTGGAAAAAAACCACTGCTCTCAAGGAACTCGGAAAAATACGGAGTTTTATCACCTGTCTCGGGCCCCCACTGTATTCCGTACCATCCTCCTGTGATTCACGCATGCTTGAGCTAATTCTAGTGCTCGCTAGTCCCCTCCCCTCCCCTCCCTTCACGTTTCCCGCCCATAGGAAAACAGACGCCTGAATTGCAGGCTGCGTCACAGTTTGCACAGTGTACCTACAAGTCGATACAAGCATGCGTACTACCATAAGTTATCGGTAAAACTAAACGAAGAGTGGTATACCACAAGATGTATTGCTGAAAGGAAAAGACGCGGCTTACCAATAGGATTGTCAGGATTGGTGCTTTGTACAGCCACTCGCCATCGTGAAGCCAACACCTTATGAAAATCAACAAAAATTTCTACTTTTTTTATCCCTCATATATGACGTGTGCTTTCATAAACATACTGAAGATTTATTATAGTATAAAGAACAGAGGTACTGGGACAAGAGTCACCAATTCAGCTGCACCGTCATATACATACCGTTAATCCTCTATTACCCCCCCCCCCCCCGGGGGGCGTATTTAGTTCAAACACATTTGAATGGGGGGGGGGTTAATAGAGACGGGGGGCTTATTTAATTTAGCAAAGACAGCTGTGTCTGCAGTTCTCCATAAAGAACTAGCATAAAAAGAGGCAAGGCTCAAGTACAAAGAGTTGGAGATCATGCAGCCGGGGATCAAAAACAAATCGAAACTTCTATTGATCAGTCCTCGCGAAGTTTTACAGTCGTGATAGATTGATACAGCTATCATTAGTGAATAATGATAGTGGGAGGAGAGGGAGGGGACTTATTAAATGTTCTTCCCATGAAAAGGGGGGCTTATTAGAGAGAAGGGGCTTACTTGAGAGGTGAAGAGGGGGCTTAATAGAAGATTTACGGAAATCATCCACTCTCTTAAGCGTTATGTTGAGAGAGGGCTGCACCACCTAGCCTGCGAGAGCAGAAGCCGCTCGGTTCTTGTTTCACCCGCCGATCGCGAGAAAAGAACTCTTTTCTGCACATAAATGGGTCATATCAACTAACCTGGTGCGTATAATTTCCGCGGGAAGTTTCAGTGTTCCGCACATGACTTCTTTGTAGTAAGTCATATCATATGTCAGAGGCCTAATGGCTGCTATCAGCCCAACTATAACCACAGGAAAACCTGGAAACAGTTACAGATTAAAAGCTGGCTTTTTGCATCTTGAATAGTCCCAGGTGACTGGGGCAATACTAACACTTTGCAGTAAGAGATTTATGAAAGGAGGGAGGTGCTTACGTTCGCAAAAGTTGGATGATATAAAAATCACGGAATTTAAACTTTACATGAAGCCGCGACAGTAGTCGAACAGGCGAAGGAAGTGGGAGAGTATAAGGTATTCGTGCTGCATGTATTTGGGTTCGAAAATTATTTTATCAATAACTAGCCAGGATTAATGAGGGCAATCGCAGCTGAACTCGCGTTTTGTATTTGGGAAAAAAGAGAAAATCTTTTATCTATTAAGAGCCTAGTAAAAAAGAACTAATCACGAGATAAACTGGCCTGTCCATTCAATCAAACTCGTCACCAGGATGCTTCTCTCGTCACGAAGTGAAACTAGCGAGTGAAAGATCTTCTTAGGGACGGATGTCACGAAGTTGCCCATAACCTTTCGATAACCGCAGTCAACGCGCACACCTCAATATCCCTCTTTCGGCATATCAGAATTTTAATATGACTCGAGGTCTGGTCAGCTCTGGTCTTATTTCTGTATTTGGTTTGGTTTTCATTGTGTTCAAGTCTCTTCTGAGAAACGATTGTTGGTTTTCACATGACGTCACTGATGTTCAAACTACACAACTATCGATCCTACTGAGAATTTACTTTCATGACGTATTACAACAGCTGAAAACTAATGTTCATACAAATTTTCACTTCAAAAGCGTTCTTGGTTTTGTGTTAGAGTACGCTTGAATTTCTAAGCTTTTGCGTGACGCGGCTTTTACGTGACGGCCGAGAGAGCTGTCATGTAGGTTAAAAAAGTGAGTTATTTCGGGGAATTTTGCTATTTAAACTGTTAATTTATTAGAAAAAGCGTCACTTTACCGTTTATGAGTTCCTCAAGGGAAAAATTCACGCTTTTGTAGTAAAACTCGGTAACAGATGTTTCTGTTGGTTTCCGTCCGCCATGTTGGTGCCCGTCCAGCATGGCGTCTCCATACAAATTCCTTTAAATTTGGGTGAAACATTTCTTCGGATATATCTTGTATACGAAATATTCCTCTAAACCGAATCTTGGCAATGGTCTTTGCATATTTGCCTCCTTTCATTTCCCAGATTCTGGCCTTAAACTATTAAACAGTTTTAATTTTAATTTCTTTTGAACGGCGGGGCACTGAAAACTAGCAATAGGATCGAGAAAAATTAACAGTTTGTACGTAAAAGTGTCATGTTAGAATTTTAATCTATCGAACGTTGGCTATTGAGCAGGAGGAAGCCTGGAAACTAGGTTGCAGGTGTGTTTTGAGAAGTAAGAAATTTTGACATGATTACCCCAGCCGATGATGACGTATGTGATGTAAAGCTTCCGGACCGAGAATACTTTCACCAGTTTGACGTAAAGATGAATTCCTTCCACCAGCATCCACGTAAATATGGTGGTATGCGAAAAATGCTGAAAAACCGCCATAAATGAACATAATTTCTGTAAGAAAGAAAATACATGCATTCGTTAACAGTAAACTCCCCTGAACTTAACAGCGCAAGGTACAAAACTCAGCTAAAATATAGACTGTTAGTTGCTGCGTCGTTGGAAATAGAGCGATCGTGCAATTGTAATGGTAGGTTTTGTGCGTTAGCCTAGGCGGTTAGCAGGCTGGTTGTTATTTCTTGCGCTAGCTCCTGGTCAGAATGGTGAACAGTGCAATAATGTTAAAAGACGCACTTTTTTGAGAGTCTTATGTCAGTTTATCAGGAAAGTACTAATTGAGGACACTATTTTTACGTCTCCTACTGGAGACGGGACCGCCATTTTACGTAGTCATCTGAGCCACGCGAAAGTCTTGCCGTTTGCAGTAGAGCATAGGCAGTACCTTCATTTCTCAGTTCACTGATGAGTATAGGTCCATAGAGATCGAACCTGTGACCTACCGCTCTGCAGTTAAGTACTCTATCGACGGAGCTCGTCCTGCTGCGCTGGTAAAGTGGCAATTCAACCAAGTATAACGATAATATATATGAGCGGATGGACTAATTATTACCTTGCAACTAATGTCGAATAACGAAGTCAATCGTTCAACAATGTTGAGTTTGTTTTCTAAACATTCAACAAGCTGCAACATCTCTCACCGTTTTTTCTTTTCTTTTTTTTGAGCAACAAATGCTGAACGTTATTGAGCAGTGTTTTAGCGGTGTAAGTCAAGAAAATTTTGGAGAAATTGTAAATGCCAAGACTAGGAATGTGTTCGAATAACCTGAACTACTTGCAAAATAAGACATTACGCGTCTTTACCACATTCAAGGATTTTAAAATGTCTGGAAGATTTTTATTTTTACATTTTACATTTCTTATACGTGCGTCGAATGTACTGGTAAAGACGTGATGTCTTATTTTGCAAGTAGTTCAAGTCAAGAAAACAAATAGTACCTTAAGACATGAAGAATGAAAACAGGCAAAAAATTGCCTTTTAAGAAAAGTAACATGCAATAAGCTTGAAGATGTAAGCCACGATATTTTTAAAGACATTGATTTGAGGAAAACAATGCTAGCCCTCTGGCCTCGCGTAGCCACAGCTGTTAAATCAAGATGCAAATACATGCGCTTTCAATCACTTTTTTTCTATGCTTCACATCATATGGACGGTTTCATGACTATTATATCAAATAATAATAGCGGTAATAACACGAAAAAGAATAAAAGAATTACCGGGTTTTGCTTCCTGTTTGTGAAGACAAAAGTGTCGAAGATCATCACGATATAAACCAAGCACAGGGAAAGTAAAAGATTCTTGTGCACAAATATCCTTTCGGAGTTTCTTATTCTGTTAAAACAATCAAATCATCCGCCATTTTTAAACCAATATCAAATCAGTTACTCAGTTGATGCAACAGAGTAACTAGCGGCGCTGTATTTCAGTTTTAAACTTATAATTATAATGTCATAACTGAGTATATCGTTGCTTTTTCGAGGTCTTGTTCGGATATTTGATCACAGCTCAACTTAGCAACCATGCATTTCAGGTTTATATAGAAATTCACTGGCAAGTGCATGTTCAAAGCTAAAGCTCTTCTTAAGACTTGTTGTATATACATATGTACAACATCTAAGACTCCTTGTCTATACATCCTTTGGGTCTTAAGAAATAAGATGACATTGTCTCTGGACTTTATTCATTAATTACTCAGTGATGAGTCACCCCAGCTGAAGGAATCCGCATTAAGGAATTTGGGAAACTTTTTGGTGGAATTCAGATCCGAAATCCTGGGCTTTGGAACCGAAATACAGCTCATGGAATCCTGAATTTCACTAAGTTTTAAGTTCCGCTTAAAAGGAATCCGGAATTGAGTACCTGGAACTGACCGGAATCCAAGCCAAGACTGTCTTGGATTCCCTTACATGAGGAGAATGATCTTTTGAAATTGCTGAGAGGCAAAATGGCAAGTCTTACCTTAAAAACGAGAGAGCAATCAGTGAAATTATGACAGCCATGATGGAGATAGTGCTCAGTACCAGGTCTAAGTAACCTCTGATTAAGGCTTTTCTATGCTTTTGCTTGTCCATTATTTCTTTACTTTTGATCTGCAAAGTACCATTTTCCTAAAAAGAAAGATAACGTGTGTGGTCCTCCATAGAATTTTAGAGATTAACGTGATTATTTGCCTTAAACGCCGATTTGCATGAGATTGAACAACTTCGCGAAAGCTCCGCGATGACAAGAGAACCTTACCCATGCGCAAAGCAACATCACCCAAGCCATTATTATTTCAGTCAATCGCAAAGTAAGAGTTTATGTTCTGAAGTGAGGGAAATAGATAGTGACGTGGCAGCCATCAACAGTCGGCAGACAGAGAATCATCATCAAAGTACGCAGAACAATTAACTGGAGATGCAATATGTAAAATTTCGTTCACTTTTCTGCTGTTACATCTTATCAAGTAACTAATTTGTTTAGTCATTTTCATCCTGATATAGTGGTATACGTGGCGAAATATGTTTTTTCCCCTTTTTGGAATTTTTGCCACCCGCCTCAGTTCTCGGATGTGTGTAGATTAGTGTCGATTTCATCCTTGGTGCTTGAGTTCGTACCCCAGATATTTTAATTATGAAACGGTGGGGGATGCTCGTGGTCTAGTTGGAAGGTGGGAGGAGGGGGGGGTATGAAACTTACACATTTAGGTATCATCTAGGGTGTTCAAGGAACACCAGTTAGTTTGCTTCAGTTTGCTTCATCCATAATATCACGAACTGTCCCACTACAATCGCATGACGTGACACGGCTTTGTGTGTGCAGCGGTAATGTGAGAGAACAATAAATCGCAAATGTCATTTGCAACCGATATAACTTACGTTAGATTCCAACCAAGAGCAATTTGCATTCTCAAGACCAAGAGGAACATGGCTTTCATTCACCTGGTAAGTGAATAAAAGACAACATCGGTTGCTGTAAAGTAATCACTTTTGATGCTTTGAGATATGAACTTGAAAAAATATCTTTCGTTAAGTTGACAACAAAAAATTACTCATAAACAAATTTCCGTTTTTTTATTTTTCAGCTAAGGGAGCTTCGCAACGACAAAGGCGACGGAAGCAAGAATGTGACATTTAAGTTGACTTCGCGGTTTTGAAACTTTTTCGCCATTCGTTTAATTCAACCCGCTTGTAAATGTTAAATGGAAGTTATGATCTTTCTGAGTTGAATTCTTGGGGACCGTTTTCTCGTCTTTCTCGTCGCCGTCTCCGTTGGCTGTGTTAAAGGTCCCTAATAAGACCCTCTAATAACTCTAGTTATACTTTCCCTTCTAGTTTTTATTTAGTTATTTATTTATTATCACAAGAAATAACACAAAACAATACAAGTAAATGTCAAATGTACAGAAATTATTATTCTACATTATTTGCTATCCACCGCATCTTTTATTAAGAAAAGAATAAATTAGAAAAAAATAATACTGAAAATTTTAGTGATCATAATACTAAAACAATAAAACAAAAACTACAGCAACAACACACGTCGCAAATGGGTACTAAAGGAGATGTTGAAAGGTGTTTTCAACGGTCGTACTATTATTGTTGACAAAAGCTATTTCTTTCTGAGTACTCAACTTTTCCCAAAGAAGTACAGTGAGAAACCTGTCAAGTGAGATCTTTTCTTCGCTTAGGCAGCTGGAGTATATCGAGAATTTTGCAATTAGAAAGAAGTCTGTAATTTATGGAATATTTGTGTTGTGTATTATTGAAAACCCCGTACAGAATCTTACTGTCTGATAATGCCAGGGTTTGCCCAGTTTTATTGGCCCACCAAATTTGAAATGTCCTCGAAAAGGCAACCACGGAAGGGCAGCGCACGGACATGTAATCTAAGGAGTGTGTTTTGTTTAGACTTTGAGGGCATACAATATAGTCACAAATTTTGGCTCTAAAAGGGCTTGCTTTAGTAGCTAGTATACTGTGACATATTTTGTACTACCTCATATTCACATTCACATTCTTGTTATTTTGATGTCATTTTTAATTTGAAAAGGTAATTCGTACACTTTATAAATGCTGTCGTGAGAAAAACTAAACTGAAGATCTTATTTTCAGCTGTGGGTGGTACAAAGGTTCTCTTCAACACCCGACAGAATGCTCGGCGCAACTTTTGTGGAGATATTTTCTACATTCTCCTCACTCACAGAGCATCGCGAAGGTGAATTTTTAAGCCTCCAGGAGGATGGTTTGGCGTTAATGGGACCAAGATAGAGAGTGAAAGGTGTCTTAAGATCGAATTTTGAGCAAAAGTCCTCTAAAAGAGAGGAATGCGTTTGCGTTTTTATTGAGAAGGTCGCTGCATGTAAAATGCTTTTGTCAAACCAGCTTTTGCAAAATAATGGTTTACCGTCGATTAACAAATTTCAATGGGTAGGGTTTCAGTACTCCAAGGACTTTTTGTTATTTGCCATTGTTTCAATATTTCTACGTACTGAGGGATGGAAAATTGTCGACATCTAATGTGTCAGTGCCATAGTTACTTTTTACCAGAAAACTAGACAGAGGGTCTCAATGGGATTAACCGATAGGCGTAAAACGGCCAAAAATTTAGTCGATGGGCGTAAAAATTGAAAAATTTTAACCGTTAGCCGTAAATAGGGTAAAAAAGAGTTAACCGTAAAAGAAATTGTTCCCTAGATTAGCGACTAGTGTGACTCCGTACGCACGTTAGGCGAAGCGCCTTTTAGGTGTTAATCAAGACCTAGGCTCCATTTCCGGCGCTCTCTCGAGAAACTAATTTTTTCCATAGCGAAGATGTGGCTTCTTGCTGGGAATTAGTATTTGCAATTTTCAGGAGTTCGTACCCTCGAAACACCTCCAACAACAACACGCAACAACAACACGCAGATATGTCACTGTTTATAAAACACGTTGCCGATAAACAACATTTCCCCGTTTTTCTCTGACGCTACGGTAGGCATTGCCATGCTTAGTCCCTGTACGACGTCTTCCCACGCAATCTCGGTCAAGGCATTTCGGTGGCGAACTGGCTCATACTACGTGACCCGAAACGCATTAGCCGCGCGTAAAAATGCAATGATGCGGCCTACAGACAAGGCAACGGCAGACAGTCGTTCCGTAGAGTCCCTCGCTATCATTAAAAACACTGGACACGGGAATTTTGTTATTGGCCGTTTTCACACTAGAGCTAGAAACGGATCATCCGTCTGAGACTAGCCTGTGTACAGTCGCGCCCTCCCCACAGACACCCCTTCTCTGATTTTTTCTAGGGGGAGGAGGCGGCTGTACAGAGGCTATATGGAACGGATAATCCCGTCTTCAAAAGTCAGGCGGATTGTTTACTCAAAATTAAAACTATTCGATTTTCAAATTAAGACGTATTACCGATATCCGATGCGAATCATCAAACAGATAACCCGTCTCACAACAATAATCCTTCTCTAGTGTGAAAACGGCCATGTCTGTTATAATGAATGTCGCGCCCCGGCCTTGAGTTGGGCGTTCGCGTGTCTGCTTTTGCTTTTTCACAAAGATTATTTTTAAATTGACTATTGACATTTCTATGTGTAAAATAATATTAGAAGTGGAATACTTTACTTATAAAAAGTATGATCTATCAAATGTTAAAATTTTTCAAAAGAATAGCTTATTTCATCCCGAGATGATCTGAAGACCTTTATTTTGATTTAAAGATACCAAAAAATACGGGTTAATTAATATTTAACTTTTTGAAACAAAAGAAGTTAATTTTTAACTTTTTCGTTAACCGTAACTGAAAAAAGTTAACTGATAGCCGTAAAATAGCCAAAATTTTAGCCGATAACTGTATCAGCCACCACCCCATTGAGACCCTCTAGACAGTCCTCCATGCGTCTCTAGGGCTGCACCAGGAATGATTTTTCAAGAACCTTCATTTGCCGATTGTAACCACGATATCCAAGTTACCTCTAAAGCTTTGTTCCACGCTAGAACTTTTATATCAATTTGACTTTTCATTTCGAATTTTAAAAAAGCGGGTATTTTTTTATGGCTCTTGTAGAGGATTATAAAATGGCACATCAAATTTGACAGTTTTCTCATTAACAGGTGACAGTGAGGTGGCAGAACTAAGGTATTGAAATTTGCCTTTAGGGGCTTGATTTTATTAATATTCAATTTGATAGCAATTGAAGAACGTGTGCAGAAAACGAAATAAAACAAAATCTAAATATGCCAACTGTAAATAAACTGAAAAAACAACAACAACTATAAAAGGTCTAAAAAGACCAAAAAGCCAAGGAAACATTATTAATCGCCGCTGACAGGCTTATATTTCAAAGCAACAGCGCCTCATCACCAGCCTCACTTTACCTTCTAATGAAACGTTAACATTTCAAATGGAAAAAAAAAATGTTCCTAAATTGTAAGTTCACCAGTTTTACTCATCCTTAGTATTGTAGCCCGGGGAGATGTCGAATAACACACATATGGTGGACATGCGTAGTTTAAAATTAAACTCACGATTTTCGTGTCGTTTCTTGGTATAAGAGAGGGAGATCCAGAGGTTCTTGTTCGAGCAGAAAGTTGACTGGGGTCAATCTTCAGCCTTAGAACCGGATGGAACCATAGTTGAGTAATACCTGTGTTAGGTTCACTGTAGAGTGGTGAGACAACATCGGACGTTGTTTTGTGTTCAAACACCCTAATGAAATTCAAAAATAAAACACAGTCGAATGGCTTTGTTCAATGGCCACTGACAAGCCAGGGGCACCCAACGAGAATATAGTTCAAAACCACTTAAACATTGTTAAACGTATTTTAATGTTTAAACAGTTAGATATAGGTATTTTTTATCCCCTAAAAATTTTTCATCTGTTGGGATTTCCTAGCTGAAAGTCTAGTGATCCGAAAACTATAGGGATCAAAACTTACCTTTTCGAAAATTTCAGCCAGAAAAAAGGCTCCCGAAAATTTTAGGGTAAAAAAAATGGGCAATTATACTATTTTTTAGGTGTTCGAAAATCCTAGGAGAGGCAGGCAAGAAAGAAATTTTACAACAAATGTTCCGAAAATTCTAGATCTCAGATCGTCTTCCGAAAAGATATTTTCCGAAAGTTGACGTTGGGTGCCCCTGACAAGCAAGGGCATCATGTTCGTAGTAGCAGTTGTGTAGAGGAAGGCCTGGGGAATATATGTCAATTGAGTGCGTAAGCCGCGAAGCACTTTGCAGTGAAAGTAAATGTGAATTGTGTTATATTGTGAGCGCTGAGAGAAACCGTCTATATTTCTTTCTGAACTACAAGTTCCGGAAAGAAAAATTTAATAGATGAATTAGGAATCAAAGGAGACGTCTTTGACTCCGGCAGGGGATTGAACTCATGCACCTCAGAATTAGTCTGAGCTGCCTGATCTATAACTGACTGAGCCACCAGATCAATCGGGAGTCTAACGTGACTAACAATGTCGAAAAAAGCGTTGACTAAAGACTTGTTGTTGTCATGTTCATGTGCCTAAATTAAAACGAACCGCGATCCCATCGAGCAGTGCATTTTGCGTAAACTTACATTTCTCCCGTTCACGGTTTTTGTCAGAAAATTCAGCTATTAATTTCGTCCTCGGATAGCGCTGAGCGCCGTTTACCCAATCAGCCTTGTTTCGAGGAAAATATACCATCGATCAACCTCGTTTTCAATCAAATATACCATCGAATAGAATGGATGGCATATTGCTCGCATCTTCCAAATATCGTACGCGCCCGTTGGTTGATGAAGAATTAGCCGGGGATTGGAGCCAATCGGAAACAGCGAAATATTTGAATGATTAATAATTTTAATTACTATTCATTCAAAATATTTGCCCAGTTCTGATTGGTTAAGAGCACTCGCATAATTCACCATAACCAGCTGCTGATGACCAAATTTGGAGGAATTTAGCGTTTAATGAACCGATGACGTCAAAAGTGCAGCTTTTTTGCAGGTTAATGTACCGTTAACCGAGAAGACCTGGGGAGGAGGTTGAGTTGTTTTGGTTGTGAAAACAAAAATGGCGGACATCTCAGTCGTTTGAAGAGTAAGAACTAGGCGAAATAATAGCTTAAAACATGGCAAGACAACTCGAAGGGCGACATCTGCTATTTGGAGAATATTTGTGGAGCTGAACAACCCTAAACGTTTATTGTTATTGAAGAAAAACTTAACGTCGATGGGTCGATGGAGATAAGCATGTTTTAGCCAAATGTTTTTAAACTAGGAATTATTTTGAATGAATAATAAAAAAATCATTGAATTCGGCTTTCGTATCGTATGAAGAATTATGGAGATCTCGGAGGGTGTTATCCGCCTCGGCCGATGATACCCTCCTCGATCTCCATAATTCTTCATAAGATACTCAGCCTCATACATTAATTATTAAATAATCGTTATTAGAGAGCAGTTAAGCGAAGGCGTTTTTGAGCGACGTCAACCGAAAGTGAGGGCTTTTCCCTTATAAGGTGCCTTGACGCTATCAAATTTGTATTGTTGTGTGTCTTTAACTCTTAAAGAGACAATTTGCGCGAAAATTTGTGCAAAACCACGGCACAAGAATGAAAAAAACTTTACAAGCCTCGTACGCATCAAGCAAGGTGAAAAACGAAAGCGATGCCTTCCGCGTAAATCGGATTTCCGATGTCTTTGACAAGCGGCGCATTTCTCAACAAAAATGACCCATTAAACAAACCAGCCATGAATAACAGAAGAATCTTGGTAGCAGCTGTGTTTCATTTTGTACATCCAGTGAAAAAAGGCAGTTTTAAAAACACATTGCAAGATGACACAAAAATCTCTCAGCATCGATTATCACCTTGAGCTATCAGTAAACAAGTTTCCAGATGCTGCATTAATTTTCCGCATGAACTCACCAGTCAAATTTTGACCAATCAGAGCATAAAAATTGAACGTAGCTAGAGCGTTACGAACGCGTGACCTTGGTAGAAAAGTCAAAAGCAACTGCTTTCCTTGCCTCTAAAAGCTGGCTGAATTTTCGCGTCCGAGGTCAGTTTGAAATCAAAATTTTAATAACGCGGCTCATAAACACAACTTATTTCCCATGCATTTTAAAAAAAATTGAACTTGAGCCTGTGATCATTTGAAAACTTGTAACTTGTCAGCGGATAACTTAAAAATACTCGACCTCGAAGGGTAGATACCTAAGCCTGCAAAACGGTCAGGTGATACTGGTCAGCGGATACCCTGTCTTGATAATATGAATGTGCAATCTTTGCAATTATCAGGTTGCACCTTGAAACATTTGTTTCCCCGTGGTGCGGACAGACGGGCGGGCGGTGTACGGTCATGTGATTACCAAATTTTCTCCGATGGGTAGATTGTCTTACTGCGCTCATAATTTATTTAGTCACATATTTTTAAAGGTAGAAGGTGGTCCTTTTCATAAGCCTTATTGGCTTCCATGGGCTCCCTTGCTTCTTCTCTCTGAAAATAGTGTATGTATTTAATTTAATGGTGGCAAAATAACAATTAATATTATAAATAAATAATAAATAACATAAACCAGAAGCATATAACCCTGGATAGAAGTATATTTACCGGGGGGGTAACATAAGGCGGCTGCAAAACTCCAAAGTTTGGGTTAAGTTTGGGGCTTGACGACAAAACTTCAAAACACTGATTTGAAGAAAGCGGCGTTCCCCAAACCCCTAGGTAAAAACAGAAAACAGAGGCTGATTAGATTGTTTTGTAGTCTTTAGAAGCTCCACACACTGAAACGCTTTTTGTTTGACATTGAAATCATACGCAAGAACAAAAGAACAACAAGTGAGCGAGAATTTAGGAATTTGATTGGTGAGCGAACAGACTCAAATGACGAACGCTTACGCATACCATTTCACTCATTGAACGTTATTTCACTGAGCAGTATTTCGGTAACTGAAAATGGCTCTGACTATTTTTATATTATATGTAGCCTGGCTTTAGAGCTAAGTCGGTTCTTAAAATATCTATCATATGATATAAACCGCCCTGGCTACTCAGCCTCGAACATCCTCTCTTGCCGCGAACCATCACTGAGGGATTTGAAAAGATAACAAAACAAATGTCTGGCACCCAAGGCAAGATTTTTTTTCATTATTATCATTCAGTTTATCATTGCTTTCTCTATTTTTGTATTTTGAAAATAAAAATGTTGAAGCTTACCACTTCTTGTGGACAAAAGGACTCCGGAAGTGGCTTGAAAATGCGTTGATCCTCAGCTGTAAAGAGCATTATCTAAAGAGAAGACATAAAGTATGATAATGGAATAATAATAAAAAAAAGCACAAAGTGTAAGTTAAATGAGGCACACGTTTTACGTCCCCTACCGACAAGATCGATTTGTGGTAATCCGAACCACCGGAAGGACTATAGTGACCTTTTTCAGGGTAAAGGTGGTGCCTCCTTAATTTATTTTAGAGCTGTCTGGCCCTGGAGAATCGATTCCGCGGTTTCCCGCTCTCTGCCGCTGATCAATGCTGATCAGAGTGTAAGCGCGGACAACACAGTTGGAATTTTGCTTTCTCAGTGTTAGTTCGTTTTGGCCTGGTCGGTATGGGTCAGTGTTTCTTATTTGCATTAAGGTAAGAAAAATGTTTTAAAATAGTTTAAATTATAATTTGAAAAACGAAGTTTGTAATAAAGAGGAATTCCATCAAGCGAGAAAGTGTAACTTGACTGTTTGATATGAAGTAAAGGATTCCTATCTAGGAACCTTCTTTTTACCTGTCTGCAAGAAAAAACCTCGTCATTAAAGCTAAGAGAATTTGAATAGATACTTGGCCTCCCTTTTTAAAGAAGAAGCAGTGGTAAAATATTCTTCTTTGATCAGCCGGAGAACTTTATCATTTTAAAATCTTTATTGCCCAGCCTTAAACAAACAAATTATATTGTTCGAATGGACTAAACGTTCCGGTGAGGGTTTCTTATTCCTTTAACTAACCTTGGAGAAGTTCAGTGCCACCATGTCATTACGTTGGGTAATTGGGCTTAATATTCGCACTCCAGTTTTAAAGAAATCTTGAAGATAACTAAAGAATTTCCGTTTATTTGTAAAGTTGTTAGCGTCCTTTTTCAGGTCTCCGGTCAAATCCACCAAGTTCGTTACATTGGCTGAAGATAACTAAAAGTAAAAAGAAAAACACTTGGTTGGTTGCAGATTTACAAATGTTGTTGTTTTGCATGGATATAAAGCTTAAACGAAAGGTGGAGCTATAGCGAAGGCGGCTACGGAATGGCCTTTGTACAACTTTCAAACACTGTACACAACCGCCCCCACTCCTCAGGGAGGAAGCAGTTTCTAGGGCTTGCAGGATCAGTCGCATTATAGGGCGCAGCTTTTAATCTGTCTTTTACGAAGCTCAAAACTGTAAATCTGATCGATGCATTCCGTACCTGATTTCTCCTTCTGACTTTTTTTAACTAAGAGTTTAGCTTTTGCTTATGAAGGAGAACCGTTTACCTTCAATCGGACTGCATGAAGAATAGTTTGTCTTTCGCAGTCACAACTTTCCTTATGTTTCCAGCTTGTAGCACCATTGGTTTCTGTACATAGTGCACTAAATTGACCTACAAAACATTCGCAAAAAAACAAACAAACACGGAGAGATGAAAACAATAATAGAGGAACCGTATTGATGACACCAGCCTAGAAAAATCAGGAACGATTTCAAGGAAAGGGGAGAGACGTGTTTACCTTCAAGATTTGATTCCACCTTTGAACAGTTTCTATAAACAACAGTGCCGACCGCGGTTCTGTTCCACTTTAGGTTAAACTTCGTTTGAGATGGGCAAAAATCTGTCCAGTAGAAAGAGAGGAGGATTTTCAGATTGCAGATTCCCCATCTCTCATCCCCTAAACATCGCCGGTAAAAACGAAGAGAAAGAGGGCGTGCTTGTCAGGTACCCTGGGCTCCATTGCGTGAGATTAACTTCAAATGTGAGCGCACAAGATATCTCGTAATAAATATACGACATCCAATTTGGTATGTGACCCATCAAATCAGATGGAAGGATACCAAATCGAAAGCAGGATGAACTTGTCGGATATTCAACCTTCGATTTGTCAACTACGTGATTTCCCCTGGTTAAAATGACTGCGAAGAACATCAAATCAGACGCAGGATGTAAACTAATATTCGACCACGAGGTATACCTTCTCTAATACTTCATTTTGAGAGATGAGAAGTCACCCGTTGTGTTCATTATAAAAGCCTATACGCGTTTACTTACAATGGATACAGCCTTTTTCATCTGACTTGTCATTACATTCGTCTATTTTATTACACCTGTCATTTAGGGACCTTATTTCATCTCCACTTTCACAGAGGAACAACTCTTCAGAAATATGCTCAATGTCTTGTATTCCTGGAGGGGTAAAAACATTTTTTTAAAAAAATCATTACCGCGTTTTTCCTCTCATGTGTCTTGCACAGTGGTGACGGTAGCGCGGCAGAGCGTGTTTTTTACATAGATAGCGATGTTAACTAAACAGTATTCATGTGTGTCTGTGATCAACCATGTCTTTGGAGTCGAAAGGAGTGCCTGCCTTAGTACAATCACAGCAACTGTCAGTGCCAAGTCACATTTTGCGTATAAGTATGAGAAAGAGTTTGGAAATTTAAAAAGAAATGATCAACTGAAAGTTAAGTAGTGCCAGTGGAATGAATACTCTGCGTCCTCGTTTGAAAACGCATACATTTCGATGTGTTTAGGCCTTCTGTTCACACTAATGCGCTGAGAGTTTTCATCGGAATCGCATCGATTTGAAAACGCTCTGGCAAGTGGATCAAAACAAAAATGCATCTTGTTAGTATGGACATATCGTATTATTTCGGACGGTCGAAAACGGTAAAAAAAAAACCAAAATGAATACGATGACCGAAAATATCGCAGGAGCGTGTGTTTGTAGCATTCGCATAGCGTACAACTTACGTCACAACATGCAATTCTATCATTTTCGAACGTGTTAGTGTGGACAGTCGGAAAAGCATCGAAACGGTAGTGTGGACGCGAATTGATAGATGCGTTTTCGATGACAACGAAAACGCATACGACCGCACACTTTTGAAAACGCGCTTTTACTAGTAGGCTCTGCTTCGCTCCGGTTTAGAAATTTCATCCTGTGTCAAGTGGAATCTAATGCAAACCGGCTACCCAGTAAGAGCACATAAAAAAGTACAAACCTTTGAAAGCGCCAGTGCAGACTATTTTATTGGTTTCTAAGTAACAACCAGGCCTCACTCTTTGTCCAGAGAAACAGAAGAAGTCGACGCCATTGTCAGTCCAACTATGGCCATCAAATAATACCTTATTCTTCCATCTGCAAGCTTCAGAGAAAAGACACAAAGAAAGATGAAGACTTTGAGAGTGGGAACAAATTTAAGAGGTCACATCTCAAGGTGCTAACAACTCTATTAACACCACAAACGAATCTAAGGCATTATCAGAGTTAGACTCGTGATTGTCATGATTTGCTAATTGGTGTCAGAAAAGAAAACAAATTTACTCTGGCAATAGCCATTTCCGGAAAACTTGCGCTGAAAGTGTTACATTGAGACGAGTGGTAATCTACAATGTGACTTACAGACTTTTTAACTGTCAAACTGATTTCTCATTTTTAGCTTTAATATTAAAAAAAATAAAAACGTTTATGGCACTTTTGCAACAATCAATAGCTATGCTGATGTACAAACGATATAGTAGGGCCTTGACGGCAAGAAAATAAATTATCATTTTAAATGACGTATACATAGGCTTTTGTTTTCCTTCTCAGGGGCGTAGCGTGAGATTTGGAAGGTGTTCTCACAGGAAGAAAAGTTAGAACGCCGAAGGCATACCCCAGCTTCCACCAGAAAATTTGTTAAAAGGGTCCCAGAATTGCCTTTTTCTTGTGTTTTCCCCAGGACATTTTCAGTAAATAAATAAGAATTTAGAAGGAAAAGGCTGCAGCACATTTTTTCGTCAGTTTAAGGAATAGTAAAAGAGTAAAGAATAAAACCGTAATCAATCATCCTGATTTCATGATAAAAAATGCTTTTTTTAGTCAGGAAATAGAAATAGCAAGAGCCGTACCATTATGGCTCTGATCTCAAAAATAGTTATATAATTTTCCAGAGATTAAGCTGTACGCACGGGCGTATGGGCGTCTATGGAAGCTATGCTCCTGCTTCTTACAGGACTAATTGAACTGCTCTGATCACCGAGGAAGTAAGAGTGAAAAATTAAACATCATTAAGTTAAGAGACCTCAAAAGTTTTAATCGTTCAATAAGCAAAATTCTGAGTCCAAGAGGGCCTAGAAAAGTACTTACCTTTACAAATTCCTCTGTTTGATTTTACAAAAGCCACCGTATTGCACTGTGGTTGACTACAGTTTTGGACGATTGCATCATTAGATGTTAAGAAAGACACGTGTTGTTCACATGATATAATTCCCTTGTAGCACTTGCACGTGATACAGTCGCCAACGGACCACTGGGCTCCTTCAAAGTACGTGTTAGCGTTCTCATCTTGACAAGAGACATCTAAAAAGGCAAAAAAAGCAATCCATAGCCATCCATAGACTCTCGCACTAGCTAAAGCTTTATGTTATCGGCAATCCATCAATGTCCAAGCAATGCTCCCAGTCAAACAAATATTTTGCAAATGACGTTCAGCTTAGAAATTACGACTCAAGTTCCTAAAATGAAGTTTGCAGATTGTACGTTAAGCTTCATTTACATGTACACACTAATTAGGCCACCAAAGATTACTGTGCCAATCCCAGACCCTTAACATTTACGGCTAAGATATGGCTTCCATTTGAGGCAATGAGAACATAAATCTGCTTTTGTTAATTTTGTCTGCAAGAAACAAAGCCTGTGCTGTGTGTCTTAATACACTATAATCAACTTACTTGTTTTGCAGAGGTCATGAGGCTGAAGACAGTTTGGTTCGGGAGTAACACATGCAACGCCAGATGCCACGGCGTGAAGGCCTCCGGGACACAGCTGTGGCATCCCTCTCATCTGTCTGGTAAGTTCAGCAAGCGCTACGAGGAAATCAACAGCGCGAAAATGTCGCTATAATGTCATGAAAAGCACTGTAAAACTAGCAAAAATCATTGTTTCAGAGACGTCTGACAATATTTTGCAAATTGGCCATTTTTTGTGAATTCAAGACCTCCGGAAGCAATTCGAAAAGTCTGCATGCAAGTGCTATTTTTATGTCGTTTATTACCTGATATTTTCACATTTCTTTTTCTTCAGATATAGAACCCTGCAATTCGTGCTGACTCTTTGTTCCTAAATTTAAACGTTGTTCCCTCCAAGGTTCATTATACTTAAAAGCTTTTCAATTCGTAAGGATATTTGACAGAGCTCCTTTCCAGACAAGCCGCCGGAGAATTTGGTCAAAATAAATCGAAACACCCCTCGGTCTGTAACAGAGCCAGTGGAATCTATATCTTCACCGGGTTCTCGGAGAAAACACGTCATCTGGTTGGCTTATTTTCCACTGGGTTTTTTTGTCTTTGTTATGTATCTCCCAGTAAAAGCTAAAGGGGATGGCAGGCGTGACATCTTTACCGGTATGATATCTTTGAATTCCTATTACATATTGCTCTAGCGAGAAGAACTAAAAGATTTACACCTTTTTTATGCGAGATCGATTACCTGTACCCTCCGATTTCGTTTGTCAATGGTAATAATGTTTTATGGTTTTGCTTTTTTTAAACAAATATGAATAACGAAATACACTGGTTTTGTATTGAAGGATCGGTGTATCGAAGGATCTTCAAGTGTTTAACTGTGTATGAGAGAGTAGGATTGGTGTTACCTGTACATTTCACAGCACAGCATATGGCTCCATCGTACAAATCACACGTTGGCCCCAGCATTTTTGGACATCCCTGTGTCTTCCTCGATTTCCTGAATTGAAACTTGCAGCCTTGGAATTCCCAAGTTTCACCTCTAAGAATAATACGCCCTCCCTTGGTGGTTTCAATTCCTACGAAATAATGAATTCATGATCGTTACTAAATGTTGTTTAGTTATAAATCTCAAATACATAGATGAACATAGGTTTATCAACGAAAGCAATAAAAAAGCAACACGCCAGCATGGGTTTCAACTGATATTGCTTAAGATGAAAAAAAAAGTTAATTTAGTGTTTTTAAAAGAGGTGTTTTTCGATGCATCTAACGATCGACCATCATAAAGTTATTCCGTTAGTTGACGTCGACCAATTTGCTTTTAATGTCTCATTTCTGAGAAATACGTTATTTAGCTGTATTGATTAATTCTGATGTAAAATACGTTTTGAATGATGGATAGATGAATAGTGAAAGAACGAAAGCACGTACAAACGAACGAACGGGCGGACGGACGGACGGATGGATGGATGGATGGATGGATGAATGGATGGATGGATGGATGGATGGATGGATGGATGGATGGATGGAGAAAGGAAGGAAGGAAGGAATCGGGAACAAGATTGAGTAAACGATCGAGCGGATGAGTAATAAATTAAAGATCCCAGAAAAAATGTTACCTTCGCACGTATGTTTTCTTTCTCTAATAAAGTCCACTGTGTTACAAGAAGGCTGTTCACATTTTTCAGTCAGCGGTGCATACGCATACATGCCTGGGAAAAACACCCTCAGTACTCTTTTACATTTCAGTAATCCAGCATCACATCTACACTCAATGCATGCAGTAACCTTAAAAGTAAATTATTCAGTAAATTATCTCTCCCAGGTCAGCTCCGACTGTAAGTATAAGAACATTTCACTTTTTTGCCCTATTTATAGACTTCAAAACGGTTGCGCATTCTTGACCTAGGCAAAAGTACAGACTCTTTTGTACTCTACAGCGATAAACAATTGCATCAAACATTTGGGACAACATCCAGTTCAAAGCAGTGAAAGAGAAACAATTGTAAACCATTTTCTGAAGTCAAACATGGCTGAACAAATAGAGAATGACAGAAAAGAACTATAATTTATATTAGGTTTAAGAAATTTAGTAATTCTTATAAAAGGACGATTTTACCTTCCAAACGTCTTTGAGAACCAAAACCTGACCTTGTTCATCCCTACAGATAACTAAAAAAATGGAAAGAAAAAATACAGACACAAAATATTGCCATATATATAACTGTCTTGCAAATAGCCTCTATGGGGGGGTCTTATGCATGTTTTAAAACGCGTGCATTCCGATGCTGAGCGTTTTCGTCGAAAACGCATCGATTTGAAAGCGCTGTTGGAAGTGAATTAAAACGAAAGCGCATAAATATCGTATTATTATGAGCAGTCGAAAACGCATCAAAATGAAAACGATGACCGAAAATATCGCAGGCGCGTGTGTTTGTAGCATGCGCACAGAGTTCTACTTACGTCACAACAAGCAATTCTATCGTTTTCGAACATTTTAGTGAGGACAATCGAAAACGCATCAAAGTGGTAGTGTGGATGAGAATCGCATACTAATCGAAAACTCATACTTTTGAAAACGAATTAGTGTGGACAGGGCAGCTTTTATACAGGTCAGGGTAATCGACTCCTGTCCAGGTGCAACCAACGCTCTCTACTGTTTGTTTGCGGGACTGTTAGAATTCCATGGAGCACAATACTCACCATCCTGGCAATCAGCCTCATCAGACCCATCTAAACATTCGGCGTTTCCATTACAAACATGTTCTTTCTTTATAAAGGCGCCGTTTGTGCATTGAAATAATCCATTTGAATTCTTAAGCTGAAAAAAGACTAAATCATAAAAGACAAATTAGATCGTAAAGTTTAATGTTCAGTTTATTTTACTTTGTGATTTTCCCCTCTTTTTTCCTGGAGAAATTAAACAGCTATGGTTTCGTTCTACTTACGTTCGTCGTTTATCTTCTATACTGATAGGCCATCAATAGACACGATAAAAGACAGCTTGTAACAGTTAATGATGAGTTATTGCCAGCTAACACGTTCTGGCAAACTATAATATTTTAGAATAAACAGTTTCAGGGTTTTCAAGACCGTTATAGCATAGCTCTCTCGCGCGCGCGAAACGCACGCAGCGAAGCACCATGGGTAAGAAAATTTAGTTGTCTACCCATCCGAGAAAATTTGGTTATGACGTCAGCGTACTGCGTCCTTCCGTACACTCTTTGGGGGTGAGGGAAGGAAATCAGGTGTCCCCCCGTCGCGGGGAGGAGTATGTTATATTTTCTTTGCAGGAAACCGTGCGATGAATTTGTGCAACCCGCGGTTTTTCTTGGCGGGAAATCGCGCAAGAAGTGGTGTGACCATTGTTGTTACGTTAAAGAACTTTTTTATTTTAGGAACTTGTTTTTAAGTATTTCATAACTTAAGTATTTTGTGACCGTGACCGTCGAAAAAATTGTTATGGCAACAAACAATAGCGGATTAAATTCAACGTATTTGCTTATAAGTGAAGAGCGACGGGAAAGAGAAAGAAGAGAAAGGCCGAGAGGGAGAATTATCAGTCGAAGGCCTAGCGAAGAGGATCGCCGAAGAGAAGTGTCTCTGTTGCATCTGGAGAATGTTTACTGATAGCTGAATCCGACATCGTTTTGTACCATCTTACTATGTTTTAACAAAAGAGGATAAATCAACATTCTTTTTGCACTGGATCTACTCAAATACAGCTGTTAACAAGATTCGTTTGTTATTCTTAGTTGGCGTGTTTATTGGGATTGGTTGAGAAATGCGCCTCTTGACAAAAAGTAAGCTTTCAAAAATAAGCTTTTCTTAGTACTTCGCCTTGCCTGATGCGTATATAAAAAGGGTTGAAACTAATCGTCAGCAATTCTGGCCTTACTTGATGGCAATTACGAGCTGCATCGACCGGTAAGCTTGATTAATTACAGTATTGCATTTGATGTTTTCTCTCCTGGTTTCTTATTCATGAAGTTGAGCAATGTTTATGCCGTCACTTTACGCGCATTATTTTTTTAAGATTTGAGACAATGATCTAACCTAGTATAGAATTTAAAAAGTCTTTAGACATTTTCTAGCCACGACTAGAAAGGGAACGTTCTGAAGAATATTAAGATTATTACGAACTATTAGGTTGAAGCTTTGCGCGCTATTCTCGCCTCGAGTTCATCTTTAAAAACAGCAACTGAAACACGGAGAAAATCTGTGACGTTTCATTCATGACTCAAACATATCTTCGTGAATAAACATTGTTGTCTTTTTAAATGTTTCATTTAATTATATTATTTTCTTGTCTTGATTGTTTATCAAGATCTCTTTCTTATCGCTTTTACGGTTGTTGTTTTCAGTCGTACATGAACATCGCATACAGGAGAACTCAAAATGCAGCGTGTATCAAATGAAAATGGACTTTAGAAGTAAAATGCACACGAAAATGATTCTGAGACCTTTTACTACTTAGTGTTCATTCAAACATTTGACAGCCTGGTCTGTAAGTTTGGACTCATCTTGGCAAAATTTAGAAGTGGCTAAGCGGACGGGTGATTTTGGAATTTGCATTAAAAATAGATGTTTTCGAAAGTTTTTTCTCAAAGGCGATTAAAATACCCTGTATAATTGCATAACAGCAGAACGACCTGACTGAACAGTCCCGTCTAATGGTCTAATGGTGAATTGTCTCTATACTTGTAACTTTTTATGTGGTTGTCATTTTTAAAATTTGTTGTGGAAGGGAAGCGCGTGGTTCGATCGTCCTGAAGATTGAATGAGTGTAATTTGTCTTGTAAGCGGATTGTTCTGTAAAGAGTGCAGAAGGTCTGAACATATTAAAATAGACAAACAACGCCTGATAGTTCTGTTTACCTCGGAGCTAATGCAAAAAGGCTGGGGTCAATTTAATAAAACTTTTGCAATTGTAATTTGCAAGTGTAGCTGTTGTTTTGCATTCTGAGATCAATAGCTACACTTGTAAAAGTTTTATTAAATTGACCACTGGTTTACGCGGTACCAGCAACAGATTTGTAAAGTAAACTTGTAGCGTAAAAAAAAAAAATCCCGCCTGTTTAAATTTTCATTTTGGCCTTTGCTTTAGACAGAGAGATAAAAAGAAAAGTTACATATACTGCGTGTAAATTGGCTGCCACCGATCCCGAGGACTATCGTGCCTTGAGAGTATAAAATTATTTATTTCGGGATTGTCCACATACCCTTATAAAATAAACGTGGTGTAGGTGGTCATTTTGCTTGGGAAGAATTTGTTTTACACGCCTAATCTACTGTGATCCAAGGTGATTGCTATTTATTGGGTGTAGGACTTTAGATGTTGTTTTATTCTTGCACTGTTTGCAAATTATTTTTTCTCTTAAATCACCCAGCACCACCCCTAAAAGTCATATGGATTTGTGGATTACAACGTTATTGTCTGGAATTATAAGTTAAATAACTGGAGCGACGCTTTTAGCCCTGGCTAAATCTATATATTACTACTCTATATGTTCACCTAGATGACATTTGATTCCATTCATTGCCAATGAAACAAACCTTTGCAATTGCTAATAGTTCCCTGTCCAGGAGGCTTAATATCAACATTTGGCTGTCGACAGGGTAAACAAATTCCAGCTGTTGTCAACTGGAACAAGCCATATTCAACAGTGACATCATACTTTACGCAGCTGATGACACCATCCGTGCACGAGCAGTTAAAACAAGGTCCCGGGAACCAATTAGTGCCATGCTCCCTGACAAGGCCATTTTCATCAGTGCAAGCCGGTCGAGAAAAATTGATGCAGTAAATTTGTTCGTCAGTACAGACACATTTAGTGAGGCTGCTGCTAAGCCATTCCTGCCCATTCCCAAAGGCATTGCCAAGGCTATCCCAGCAACCACTTTGAGTTTTTTTACACTCGACTTTAAAGCCAGGCAAACATGTGCAGTTAATGAGTGGGTTTGGGCTCCAAGTCTGATGAACTTCGAAAACATTACCATGTTTGTCTTTACAGCCTGGAAACAAATTTGAGTAAGTCAGTTTTGCGCTTGGTCGAGAGGGCATCCTTCAACATGCTTCTCGATCAATTTTTAAAGGGAAGATTGCAAGAATCCAAATTTAATGACATTCAGTGCTTTATCGTTAGGAGGCGGAAAGAGCGCGATAAAAAGGGCGAGCGTTTTCAAGAACTGTGCCGAGAACACCTGCGAAATCATTTAAATGTATGTGTTTAAGCACGGGACCTTCATATGACCAAAATCAATTTTGAGCAGTAGTCGAGAAATAGTGGGTTCCTAAGAATTCAAAAATGGTAAAATTGAAACCACAAACTCAGTTGCTTTGTTATCAGCTGTTAATGTTCAATGGACTGAATTCCGACGTCTGTCGCATGATATGGGTTTGGTCAAAACAATCCGCACTTAACGTTTGCTTTTACACCCTTTGACATACCTGTTTTTCCAACTCCACAGTATCGCAAACTGCAAAACGGCTGAGATGCAGGAAATTCACCAAAGTTATACACCATGAAATCACTACAATTCCTGACTCTAACTTCGCTGTACCAGAAGCAGCAGTCATCATTGTTCGTAAAGCAAACCATACGTTCCACCACCCGTTCTTCCACAGTAGGATGTTTGCCGTTTAGCCAACCAGGAGAGAGTGTGCCGCAGTGCAGTTTGGGAACACAGTGTGTTGGCATGACAGCCCCTGCTGGGCCGGTAAATCTGTACCATGTTCGTGGTAGATTAGCGTCACACTTCATTGTGTTGTAACTGAAGTAGTCCGCGGCTCTATCGCGTCCTTCTAGGGACTGGTAGCTAGAACATTCATCACCGCTATTTCCTGAAAGTAAAACGTTGTTAAAGCCTTTTTACTTGATTATGGTACGATAGCTTAAGCTACCCATCATGGTGTACTTTCGGCTAAAGAATATAGATTATACCTTTGAAATCCAGATTTCGAATCTCAAGGATTTTGTGTTTAAACGGATTGAATGAAATCCACTGCCAAATCGGTCTGCCCTGGAGTTAAAGAATCCAAATCTGGATGTCGTAATTCAAAGCATTATATTCTATACGATTACACCAGGAACACAGATTTTGTTCAAGAATTATTGTAGAAGAAAACATTCAGTCAGCTTTTTCAGTACCTGAAGATTTGTTGATGGCCTTTTCAACACTGGATAAAACTCCTACAAGCAAAGACAATAACGCTGAAAATTAGTGAACGGTCTGGAAAGACAGTTTATCTTATCAGGCTAGGAAATGGTTAAAATTTTTCTTATCTCTTTGCTTCAGAACTCCAATCTTTGCCCCTACATTCTTGCCAAAATGAAAAACTCTACCGAAACTTGTTTCTTTTAATTTATAGTCTTGAATTGTTTTGCTTATCAAATTCTTATGCAAACTGAGTTTAATTTTTCGATCGATCAGCTTAACGCTTGAAGTAAGTCGATTATGTTGCTATTGTTTCTGTAAGTTTTGAATCGCCAATCTACGCCAGTTATTAAAGTTATTTAGCAGATGTTTTCGCGTATTTACGGGGACAAATAACTTAAATTTTATAAAGGATGTTAAAAAACTTTTTGATCTAAAAAGAAGATGTAAGTTAGTCCAAATAGCATTTGCAGTATACCTTTGATGCCAGCTCCACACATGCGAAAACTGACGGAGGATGAAGGCATTGAATCCAGCTTGTACACATAGAAAGAGCTGCAGTTTCTTACACGCATGCTCACAGAATACACGCAGCATTGCTGTTTTTGAGAAAAGCAAGCAAACCGTCTGACCACACCCTCGACGACACTTGGATGTCTTCCCAGCATCCATCCTGGTACTGAGGTACCACAATGATTGGATTCAACACATGAGGTTGCAATGAGGTCTCCGGCTGATCCGTTAAATGCAAACCAGTTCTTTAGATAAATGTCGCTGTCTATAGTTACGTTTTTGGAGAAAAATCTTGATCTACTCTTGTCGCTCAGAGTTGTGAAGTTTACGCATTCGCTGTCTTTGGAGGCAAAAAAAAAAATTCATCATGGGTGTCATGAACATGACAGTCTCATGTATAGAAGGCACTGGACCGAGCAGTTGAAGACACATCGCGAGTTCCTTACAATAAATTAGACAGCTATTTTTCGACATTTTTTCTTCAGTAGCTTGGTACGATTGGTACGAAATCAACAACGTACGCCATTGGAAATATTTGGGGGCTAAAAAGTATATTGCGGAAGTATACAATAAGCGATCAGGTTTTCTCTGTCAAACGGTCCAGAGGGTCCAATATTGTCAATATGTGAGCAACACAATATCATAGAATCTCTGTCTTCAGCAGGTGAATCGCTCCCCTATATCTTTATCAGTTTGTCAGTGTGACCCATATTTTTTTTTTTTCCAGTAATCCCTTGAGGAACCTATGTTTTGCTATCCTACATAATGCTAAGTCAGATATGATCTATATCTTACTATACCTGCAATAATACTGCCTCCGGCAATGATTTCTGAGGAAATAAACGTGACAAAAGCCAACAGCGCCTTTGTTTGCGGTGGCATGGTTGTCATATCACCTTACCTGTTTCAAGAAAAATAAAATGTCTCTATTATAACTTTCAATGTACGTTTTATATGGAATATGGTGATTGTTTAGAATTGTGAAAATGGTTAACCTGCGATCAGGCGGTCCTTCTTCCCCCTTGGTTTGGAGGCTAGGGGAAAAGGACGCCTGATACTTCATTTTTTCCCTTTCCCTGAGAAATGAAAAAACGGCTGATTGCAGGTTAGAAAATAGTGGGAAAAATACGCAGCGGTTTTTTCCTCTTGAAGGTTTTGATAAACACTTCATTTTTTGTGATCGAAATACTCTAAACCTCATGCGAAAGTCGTATCTTATAAGACACTTAATTTTACTACTAATCCTAATTGCCAAAAGGTGTCTTCTGAGATTTAGATGAGTAGCTACCGAAGAGGTTCATATGGGTGAGGGGTGGGGAAAGAATCCACTTCCCTGCCCATATATATGAACGTCAACACCCCAGAGTCTTGTGTACATAATGTCAAGAATGCATCATGCAACAGACTTAAAAAAATTTCGTCTACATGCTTCCGTAAAATAAATGCAATGGCAACCATGAAGTTCTTTTGAATCCGCTTTGTTTTATCTACCAACTCAAACATTTTTTATTTTCAGCAACACTCCGTCTCCGTCTCAACGCACTTAACAATATAGTCTTATGTATGATGTAAATAAAAACACTGCTCCGGATAATATTTCGAAACTCTTCTCTCGAATTTCTAGTGTTCATACTTACAACACACGTCCCTCAACTTCTGAACATTTTTATACTAAAGAATCTCGACTCAATGTCAAACGAAATGCTTTTTCGCGTGTTGGGTCAAAATTTGGAATAGGATACTTCAAATTCTTAAAGAAAGACCGAAAAAAGCTTTTAAAAGATCACTAAAAGAAATGCTACTCGATTTCCTTGAAACTGAAGACTCCTATATTGATGTGGATACGATCATCGTGAAAATGAAAAAGTAATTCTCTTGTCCTTTATTTTCATTTTATTTTATTTTTAAAATCTCACTTTAATATTGTCCTTGCATTTAAGTAGAATAGTATCTATTTAATGTAAAATGTATATACTTATATAACGCCAAATTTCTTTGTATTTGTCTAGTTGCCTCGAATAGCCTCGTTAACTGCAGGCCAGTCCCAATGTATCTTTTGCTATATTTCCAAATTTAAATTAAGTTGAAGTTGTAGGACAATTTAAAATTTGTATTTTCGGCGAAATGAAATGTACTTTCTTTGCGGTGCAAAAACTGATCATGCTGCGAAATAACAAGGCAGGTTGCCCTAACCGCCCAGGGCCACAGAAATGTGTATATTTCCTGAAAAAAAAATCATCATTAAACTTATACTTACAATTTTCTCTGGCTTTGTTAACTTCAAGAGTAAATACAAAAGACAACCTTCCAACATTTAACGTTAGCTGAAAATTTTGTACAGTTTCCGCTGGCTGTTCAAAACAGGTGCAGGGGTGAACTGATTCTTCAAAATACTGTATTCTGCTACGCAATTATTCCTTTCTACTTAGTTACAGTACACTTTCTTGTCGAAGTGTAATCTATAATTTAGGTGTGCCTTCCTTTCCCACCTCAGCTAGCGAAAGAGAAGACTACTTTCTAGCAAAAGAAGTTCCAGTTTGTGGTTAACAAGACGAAACACACACTGCTTTTTCGTGGGGAGGCGTTATCTGATATCGGGAAGAAAACTTCCGTCGTTCTTTAATACTTGGCAATTGATATTGTTTCTGCCATCATTTTGGATGCAAAACATTTATATAGTAACTCAAGTGTTTATCTTAATCCCAAATTATCATATAACAAAGCCTCCGCCTGTGAATAAACTTAGCATTTGCCCTGCTTTGCCTGCAATTCGGCTGTCAGACAGTTGAGGAAGCAATTTTGGATGACAAACATACCTAACCAATTAAATTATCCTGTTTCAATCATTCTTCGTATAATGATTATTTCTTAAAATAATTTGTCGGGCCAAAAACAAGTGTGTAATCAATAGTTTATTTGTTGTACGGTGAATGACGCCTTTATGAAGAAGGATATGATTTTTTTTTAGTCGACTTTCAGGACTTTTATATTTGACAACAATAGGAGCTAATAGGGAAAGGGGTAGCTTGATTAATTTTTGATATTCTTTACACCAAGATTTTTCCGCCTTTCAATCACTGGGTTTTAACTTTTATTAAAATTAAACAACTATACAAAGTAGGCTTTATCAACCAGAGTCTTTTTCCCTCTCCATATAGACGAATTTTGTTTTTGTTTTTTTTTTGTTTTTTTTCACCAGCAAAGGTGTACAGCCATTGAAGCTTCTGCAAATTAAACTGATTTCCTAAAGGACCAAACTCAGCAGTTACATCCCGATAATATTACGTTTTTTCATACGGATTTTTTGCTATGTCAAACGACTTTCAAAATTTTGCTTCGTCAAGTAAAGTTGCTTACAAACTATTTTAAATGATTAGAAATTTGTGAAAATATGTATTTTCAAGTAGTGTCAAGTGACATCTGAATTACTTAGTCCAGAAACTATGAACTATTTTAACCCTTGAAAAAAAAGTAATAAAAGGAAATATCGAATTACACACTGACTATCGATGAGACGGCAAACAAATGCGGAAAGAGGTGATCTTGGGACACGAGAGTCGCCTTTGCAGGAAATTGGTATAACTTTAGTAACTGAAAGAGTACAATTTTTTCAGATAAAAAATTGTAAAACATTATACTACACCCTCCATGAACCGGTTCCGTTCCCTCTCTAACAGTTTGCAATTCAAGCTTAAAATCAAGATTGCTATCAAATACACTAGTGGTTATATTACAGGACAATCAATCAGATTATGAATGACATATCAGATCTCGTCGCCAAGTTATGGGCGTGTGTAATTTAATACTAGGTTGTTGTTCTTTTAATACGTAGATTGTCGTCATTTGTCAGGTTAGGGCGTATATATCTGTAAATCTGTAAACTGAGGTGACAATCTCTGAGTGTTCCCTTAATTTTGGCTGATCGGAAGCACAGCGGGTTTCAATAGAAAGCGGAAGGTTAACAGGAGTCTGAATTCCTTATTTGCCACCCAGGCAAAACAGTTGCTTCAAGTCTCAGATGCTAAATATTAGCCAGGCGTATTTATTTTTCGTTTCCTCTTTTATCTTGCCGTCAGAAGAAGAACGCTTTTCTGCTAAAGCGGACGGAAGAAGTTGCGTAAATATCCAAGCTAGTATCCCTTCCTTCACCCTTGAATATCCACACCGGTGAAATACTGAGAAAGTGTTGCCTTACCATTTGCACGAAAAATCAAAATTTCTGTACATCATTGCTCAACGTTTTTTCAACATCTTTTTTGTTTGCTTGTTTTTCTGGGAAACACTCGCGGCTTAAAGACTCACCGAATAACAGTATAATCGTCTACACACCTTTCCAGTAAAAAATGAGTGACTTGATTAATACTCCATGTACTATTCAAAGAGGTTAGTTGAACTCTAAAACACTGAAGTCATGTCATACGCACTTAAGACCTGCACAGTTCCCTTAGCCGTGCACACAGAAACTTTGAAAATAGGCAAACACTACCCCCACCAGCGAAAGTAAGAGAAAATTAATTATCATATTACTATCATGACCATTTATTTCTTATTTACCTTTAAAAATACACAGTTTGTTTAAGCCAATCGTCTCGAGAAGATACAGATGTATTTCAGACATCTGTCTGTATATAGTTTGAAAGGCAGGTAAAAGTCAGCTGGGGGCTTGAAATACGGTGGGGTTCTCAACATCGAAAGGCATCGTCAGGCAACGAGCTTTTTTTTTATCTACAATGTAATAGCTACGGCCGACGTCCCGACACGAGACTGTACCTTAAAAAACACATTCATTCACATCGAGGGCGCACGAACAAAGAAAACCAAGAAAGCGCGGGGAACGTCAGAATTAAAGCGCACGCAGACGCGAGAATCTTCGTGTTGATCCAGGTTCTCCCGTCATGGATGTAAAACGTTGTATCGTCATCATATTGATAACAGTCACACTGTAGCTCACTCTGGAGGTTGGCGACGTAAAGGTATAAAATAACCGGACCTAGCCTGCGAGCAAGCGGTCCTATTTGGGCGAGTGAAACGAGTCTCGCGAGAACGTCCCTCCAGCGCGCGTTCTCGCGAGGCTCGCTTCGCTTCCCCAAACAGGAGAGCTTGCTCGCAGGCTAAAGCGGACCCAGAATTGAGCCCTGAGGAACACCGAATTCCACTGTTGCCATATCTGACTTCCTGTCATCAATTTGCACCAGGATACTTCTATCCTTTGAGTTAGATAGTCCATCATTCATAGTAAGAAGTATTTTGAGAACCCTAAGCCGAGCATCTTAGAGACCACCGACCTAAATTGGACGGTATCAAAAACCTTGCTCTAGTCTGCGCAGACCATCAGTGTTACCTCCCCTCT